CCTTTCTACCCCCCCCCCCCTTCTTCTAGCCTCTGCCTTACTGGCTTCCCTTCTCTGTCATGTTCCTTTTCCCTTTTGTTTACTATCATTATATTGATTTTGCACCTTATTTTTCCCTTTCTTAAGTGTTTTTTTAAATCTTAAGTCCTTTATTTCTCTTCTTTTCCCTCTTCCTTCTTTCTTGGTCGAGTTCTGAAATTTATTAAAAATGGCTTCCTCTCCTTCTTCTTCTTCTGCTGTCTTCATCTGTTGTAATGTTTGTTGATAGTTAATAAGCGCCATTTCTAAAAAAAAGGAAGGCTTCTTTCAAACCAGCTTTACCATTTTTTTTTGCTTGTTCATAATCTTTTCTCAGTTCCTCAATAAAAAGAGCCATTATAAATCTTTTCTTTTCTTTTCCCCTTCTTTCTTCTTACAACAACCAGGATATTCCAAAGAAAAAATAAAACAGTCCCAAAGTTATCAATCAGTCCAAACCAAGGCAGAGTTCTCACTTTCTCCTCCTGGGGTAGTATCAATCAGGGAGAAAGAAAGTCCAAATCTGTTTCTTAAAATCTTATTGCAATATATTTTAGTCTTCAAATCCTTAAGGCATCTCCTCCAACAAAGTCTTAGCATACAAATATTTTTTTTTTAGTCCTCTCTCTTCCCACTCATCGCTTAAAGCCAGTTTTCACCTAAAAAAATAGGTTTCTTAATATCCACTTATTTATTCCGTAGGAAAAGAGGGTAAGCTTTCCTTTCAGCACCACCAAACTGCCGCTTTTTTTCTCTTCTAGAAGGTATCATTCAGAAAGTCATACTTTTCAGGAATTTTGTTAAATATGTCTTAGAGTCCTAGGAACCAAGAAAAACTTTCTCCTTTCAAAAACTTTCTCCACTTCCTCCTGCGCATTCTTACCCGGCTGCCAGCTTCTTTGTGGCGGCCATTACGGACCGCCGCTGCACCGTCTTGGGAAAAGGGGGTTCTGCCGGCCGGGGAGGGGGTCTGCAACACCCCCAAACCCCTCTCCGGATCCCCCCTACCTTCAGCTGCCCCTGCAGGGCAGCCTAGCTCCGTACCCGTCCGGATCGGAGCCCCAAAAGCGGCTAGCGCAGCAGGGATCGCGCAGCTTCGCGAATCCCTGCCGCTCGCGAAGCCGACAAACCGGAAGCCTCCACGAAAGTTTTGATGACTACGTAACTTTTCTTGAAATATTGCCTAAAGAAAGCCTAACTTTAACTGATATCACTGGCAGATTGATTGAAGAGGCCAGAAGAAGGCTTGAAAGAGATCAGTTAAGGAGGGAGCAACCTCAAAAGGAAAATAATGAATCTCCAACTGCATACGCAATTAAAAAGTGTTTTAATTGTGGAGGGAGAGAACATTTGGCAAGATTTTGTAAGAAACCAAAGTGCCAGAATGCAAGCCAGAATGCTGTAAGCCATCAAAGAAGAAATAAGAATTATGAGTTAGCAATGTATAGTAATGGAGTTGTAAAAAATAATTTATGGGTGATTGACAGTGGTGCGTCCCACTGTATTACAAATGATAACAAAAAAATTGTAAAAATGTCCATGAGTTCACAGCATATCTCATTGGCAAACGGATGGAAAATGAAGGAAAAAGGTGAAGGTATAGCTCATTGTTCTAGTATAAATGAGAACATAAAAATGTTATATGTACCTCAATTTAAATTTAATTTGCTTTCAGTAAGAATGTTGGTTAGATTAGGATACATAGTTACCTTTAAGGGAGATACTTGTTTAATTGAAAAAGAAGGTAAGAAAATTACTGCATCTTTAAGAGGTGACTTATATGTGTTAAATGATAATGGTTTAGAGGTGGCTAACACAATTTATGATAATAAGAAACCTCATAATGAATGTATTCACTTGTTACACCGACGGCTAGGTCATTTAAATTTTAAAATGATTAAGAGAACTGTTCAACTATCTAAAGGAATAAGTTTAAAACCTTGTAATAAGTATTTGCAATGTTCTGCTTGTAATCAAAACAAAAGCAAAGTTTTACCGGCAAATAGAGTTGATGGATTTACTACCAAAGAGCCTTTAGAGGTAATATTTGCCGATATAATAGTCCTAAAAAGCCAAGTGTAGGTGGTGCTAGATACATATTAAGCATAATGGACCACTATTCTAGGTATGGTTTCTGTTTTTTAATGAAGAGAAAAACTGAAACGTATACAAATTTCTTTAATTGGTTAAAATTTGCAGAGAGGAAAACTAAAAAGAAATTAGTAACTCTTATAACAGATAATGGTACGGAATTTACAAATAATAAATTCCAGAGTAGACTTAGAATGGCAGGTATTCAACATAAAAAGTCTGCACCATATAGGACTCAACATAATGCATTTATAGAGAGACGAGGCCAAACACTGCAATTAATGGGAAGGACAATGTTATCTGATTCTGGATTACCTGACAATTTGTGGGGAGAAGCTATAATGTGTGGGAATCACATATTAAACAATGTTGTTAATTCAACAACAGATGAATTACCATTCACTCTGTGGCATGGTAGGAAACCTGATTTGAGTTATATTCACACATTTGGTGCACCAGCATGGGTGCATATCCCTACACAACTCAGGCAAAAAGGACAACGTAGAGCTAAAAGATTAATTTTTGTTGGATATCAAGCAAACCATAGATCTTATAGATTCTGGGAACCAGGTACATCTAGAGTATACTGCAGTGCTAGTGCACAATTCCTAGAACATATAGGATGGAATAGATTAGAGCAGGATTCAGATAATGATATTATTATAGAACCCTATAAGAGGCAGAAAGAAAAGACTAGTTATAAGAAAAGTCCAATTAAAGAAGAAGTCCACGAAGAGCAAATAGAACCAGATCAAGAGGAAATAATTGATCAAGAAGAGATAGATAGTCAAGAACAGGAAATAAAGGAAAGTCCACCTGTAAGTCTTGTTATACCTAGACGCACAACGCGTATAACTAAACCACCTGAAAGATATCAGGCGAGTATTGTTTGCCAAGTAAATAAAGTTCCTACTAGCATAGATGAACTTAAGATGTATCCTGCTAAGGAACAGGAGAATTGGCAAAAGGCAATGGAAAAGAGTTAAATTCATTAAAGGAAATGAAGGTTTATGAAGAAACCAAATTACCTCCAGGAGAAAAATCCATTGGGTGCAAATGGATATTTAAAGTAAAGACTGGAAATAATGGGAAAGTAACTTATAAGGCTAGATTAGTAGCACAAGGATTTAACCAAAATGTATATGATTATGATGAGGTATTTGCACCAAATCTTAAGGCTACAACTTTAAGAGCAGCTTTAGTATGGGCAGCTAAGAATAATTATATAGTTAACCATTTAGACGTAGAAACTGCATATCTGTATGCACCATTGCAGCATACAATATATTTGAAAAAAACGGTTGGTATAAATGATAATAAAGTAAATAGCAATGATTGTTGGAAACTCAAGAAGAGTTTATATGGATTAAAACAATCTGGCTATGAATGGAACCAATATATTGTGAAAGAAGTAAACATTATAGGGTTTAAATCTGGTTTAGCAGATCCATGTATGTTTAAAAGAGAAAATAATGGAACGGTGTCATTATTGTTATTATTTACAGATGATATTGCTTTGATTACTAAGACCAATAATGAAGCTACTGAGATTATTTCATTATTAGCCAAAAGGATAAAATTAAAGCATTTAGGTGAAATTAAAAAGTATCTAGGATTGACAATTAATAAAACCACAAAAGGATTTAAGATATCTCAAGAGGATAAAATTTGCCAATTAATTAAATTGTATAAAATGGAACTTTGTAAGCCTGCAAAGACTCCAATGAGTCAGGAAATTTGCAAAATTGATGCTCAAAGTCCCAAATTTGATAAGACCATATATCAATCTTTGATTGGAAGCTTATCATATATAAGCAATTGGTCAAGGCCAGATATAACTTATAGTATTAATCAGCTGGCACGATTTAATAATGATCCACATCAATGTCATTGGCAAGCATTAAAGAGAATTTTAAGATATCTTAAAGGAACAATGCATCATGCATTGTATCTAGAGCCAAAAGGTGATTTGAATCTTAGTGACTATGCAGATGCAAATTTTGCAACTGACATAAACACTAGAAAATCAACATCTGGGATGGTTATATTATTTGGTAAGACACTAATAGGGTGGAGGTCAATCAGACAACAGCATATTAGCTTGTCAACTATGGAAGCAGAATTTTCATGTCTGTCATTACTATGCACTGACTTAATTCTGTACAAACAGTTATTATTAGACATGGGTATAACTGTTAAAGATTCTATTATTGTGTACGAGGACAACCAGGCAGCTATACAATTAGCCACTAATATTGCTGTAAAGACTAGATCAAAGCATACTGATCTAAGATACTTAAATGTTATAGAATCTGTGAAAAATGGTCTAATTAAACTTGAGTACTGCATGACGGAAGAAAATATTGCAGACCAGTTTACAAAAGCTCAAGGTGTTGCAAAATTTAAAGAGAGTTGTAACAATTATGATTTAAAGGTGTAAATGGTTATATTATTGTAATATTATTATTATTACCCAAAAGGGGAGAATGTTAGGGATAACATTGTTTACCCTAACTGGTTTGGGTAAAAATAATAAATAAGGTATCATGGTTTGTTAGTTAAAGTGTGTGTAACTTTAACTGCAAGAATGTAATTAAGGGTGTGGTTGTAAAAGCACTATATAAGAAGCGAGGCAATTCCAGCCCGTTCTCTCTGGCTTACTGATCCCTAATTACTGAATGGATTGATGACTGCGTTCTTGCTGGAACGGGGAGAGATAAAGGAGTGTTTATTTTCTCAACGGAGAGAAGATAAATATTGGACTGATTTATTGTAAGTGTACTGACATTGGCTATTCAACACGGACTTTGCAAATAGAGTATCCCCGACAAGACTTGACTGAAATGGATAAATGACTAATGGACCGTTTATTTGACTATGCTATAATTCTTAAATGGAATAAACAATATTTTTGATAGCACAAGCGTATCTGTATTTTTACTGCGTGTTAACTAAAAAACTTATCTCACACATTTACCTGTCTTCCTATCTGACTTCGCTGCGCGTTCTGTTTAGTTTGTTTTCCTTAACACCCGTTGGGGAATCCAGGCTTAACACCCGTCTCAAAATTTGTACATCATTTCTTTTTAAAATTATATATTAATTTTTTTAACTTACCTAAAGACATATCAAATATTTCAATTAAGTTACATTCTCAAAGAATTAAACAAATAATATTCAATTTACAACTATATTATCTATTAATATATTTTGAAGAGTGTTCTTTACTTTGCCAAAATTAATAGAACTCTGTATACATGAATCTTGCTTTTGCATGCTTCTTTAATTCTTTTCTAATTAGCAAGCTTATTATTTTATTATTAGGATTTTATAATCTCTCCAAAATTTTACACATATATTTTATGTGATTTCAAAAACAGCTTATTTAATTGCAAAACCAGAAAATATAACCAAACTAAGTGATTATAATTAATGGTCCATCTGAAGGTCCTTAAGTAGTCATATATTCACTGCATGAAATAATCCTGTCAAAATACTATCCAAATAAGGATTTAATTCTCAATTTGTCTAGATTCACACAACGCAGGGACACAGGGCTTCCTTAATTATGGTTTATTTCATTAATGAGAATGAATTTACACAATACACTAAGATATAAATCATAATTTATAAATGCAGAGACAAGGTCATAGTTCGTGAAATACAGCAATTTATAATTTGATTTGATTAGATTTTAGCAAGGAAACACAGGTACTATGGGAGAACAAGGGAAGGAAGAATGAAGTGTAGTGATCAAAGAGATTCTGTATTGTTCATAAATTGCCTATCACTGAATTAGAATCTGCCCACTCTTCCCCAGCTAAAATCTTTTTCATTACATGTGATATAATGAAGCATTCAAAAAACATGTGACATTCAGAACTCTGCCAGATTCCCAGTCTTTCCATTTGCTAGTAATTCTTAATGCACATCAACACAAAACTGCATTTCTCTACATTTCACACCCCAATGTATTATTTCCTGAGCCACCTGTTTCCTGGACATGTGCTGTATCCCATAATCATCCCTCAAATGTTGTACAACCTCTTGGCAAATGACAAGACCATCTCCTTTGGTAGTTGTGTTGTGCAGTTGTTCATTTCCCTGTCTCTTGGAGGTACCAAATTCACCCTGCTGGCTTTCATAGCATATGACCAGTACATGAGTATTTGCCATCCCTTGTGATACAATGTTGTTATGAGACAATTGTTCTGTGTACAGATGGCGCTTGGACATTGGCTCTATGGCCTGGTGCAGTCAGCGTTCACTCTATAATTGCCATTTTATGGGAATATGGAGGAAAAAAATTATCAACCATGTTTGGTTGTGACATGTTAGCTGTTCAGCAGTTGGCTTGTTCAAACACCTTCAGTAGGGATGCTTTGATGCTAGGAGCAGGTATCCTCATTCTGCTCACCCCTTTTTCCTGGTGCTGGTGTCTTACATGTTCACTTTTTCAACCATTCTTCCTATTCATACAGCAGATGGAAGGCACAAAGCTTTCTCCACCTG